TCGCTCAAAGAATCCAAACAAGATTGTATATACTATTCTTTCTTTCCAAATAAATTATTCTTTATTTTTCTACAATCAGTACACGAAGCTGTTATGAAGCGGTTATTTACGGTTACGGTTAACCGTTCGACCGGTTATTACGGTTACGGTTAACCGTTCGACCGGTTATTACGGTTACGGTTAACCGTTCGACCGGTTATTACGGTTACGGTTAACCGTTCGACCGGTTATTACGGTTACGGTTATTTACGGTTACGGTTAAACGGTTAATAACCGTAACCGTTGCATGCCTACTTGTGATCATATGACAGAATGACTGTCCGCAACATAAAGTTGCAGTCAATGCTTGCTATCTCTAATATATTTTCGACTGCTACTTGAGGTATTAGTTTCATGTATCCTCATGATGATCAGAGCTTTTGTTATAATCTTATCCAAGGTCGAAAAACGATAGTGTTTTCAGTTGAGTTATTATCACCATTTATTGAAGAAGAAAACGCGAATATTTATAGCTGAGAGCAAGAAAAGAGCAAGGGAAAGAAAGCTGATATTATCTTCTTTTTTCCCACTTAGAAATAACATAAAATAGGTCAACGGATCAGAAAAAGAAAGAAGAGAAAATCCCATATTTTATATATATGATCGATAAGCGAACGATCTTGTTCTTTATTCGCTTGCAACAAGGTAATTGAAGTCGTGTATGATCGAAAACTCTGATCATTCATACTTTCATCTTTATAGGTGATTATGTGAAAATAAATCATAAAAATCAAGGAGTAGAAACGACGAGCGTTACTTGTCTTCTCTCGACAAATGGAATATTATTTAGAATGAAGTTGATCGTAGAAAATAGATATGTTAATAACTATTGAACCGAACCTGTGCTCCCTTTTATAGAGGATTTTGTACGAAACCTTTTATTGGCAAAAAGGTTTCGTAAAAAACCATTTATTTTTAGAATGAGTGAATGTATTTCATTTACTTTGTTGCTTTTTGTGTACCATATCACAGCTAGTATGATTAAAAAATATCAACAATTAGAGTTTTTCACGGAGTTTGTCGAGATAGTCTTGATTCTGACTAACTTCGATATGATCCGTACCCAATGTAAGAGAAACGATTTCAACTGCTCGCTCAGCATGTTCAACAGCATCTGTAAAACGACCAAGATGTTCCAGTGCTTTTGCAATATTGTAGTGAGTCAAGCAGTTGATGGATCAGTGATTGGAAGAGATCTTTCTTGAATATTAAGTATTTTCTCGTCGTATAAGAGTGCAGTTGAGTATTCTCCCATTGAATAATATACCATACTTATGTTACCGTAGATCGTAACCAACGATGGATGATTTGGTGACAGTGATTTTTGCTGAATTTCAAGAGCCTTCTCATAGTATGTGAGTGCAGTCGGATAATCTTCCTGCGAATCACGAGCAATACCCATATTACTGTAGGTTGTAGCAAGTTGAATATCATCAGGTGGAAGAGATATCTTTTGAATATGAAGTGCCTTCTCATAATATGTTTCTGCAGTCAAGTAGTCGCCCAATGAATCATGCAGAACACCAATGATGTTATACGTAGTAGCAAGTTGTAAATGATTAGGTAGAAGAAGCTTCTGCTGAATGTCAAGTGCCTTCTCATAATACGAGAGTGCAGTCGTTTTATCTCCTATTAATCGATTTTCAGTTCACCTATGTTGCTGTAAGTTGAAGCGAGGTGCAGATAATTAGGTGGAAGAGATTGTTGACGGATTTCAAGACACTGCTGGTGGTATGTGATGGCGTCCGAAAAGTTTCCCATTAAGTGCTGTGTCACAGCAATGTTATTATAGATAATACCCAATAATAGCTGATTGAGTGAAAGTGATTTATGATGATTTTCAAGTGCCATCTCATAGTAGGAGAGTGCAATCGGGTAATTTCCTATTGAACGATGTACCTCGCCTATATTGTTGTAAGTTGTAGTCAATTCCAGATGATTAGGTGACAGGGATTTCAGCTCAATTTCAAGTGTCTTCGCATAGTATGATAGTGCAATCGAATAGTTTCCCATTGAATCATGTGTTGCCGCAATGTTGTTGTAGGTTATAGCTAGTGATGGATGATCGGGTTTAAGAGATCTCTGCTGTATTTCGGATGCTTTTTCATAGTAAGAGAGTGCATTCGAAAAATTACCCGTTGATCGATAGACCTCACCTAAGTTGTTATAAATACTAGCCAGCTGTGAATGATTAGGTGGTAGACACTTCTGCCGAATGTCAAGGGATTTCTCATAATATGAGAGTGCAGTCGAGCAGTCGCCCATCAATTCATGTACCGTAGCAATGTTATTGTAGGTTGTTGCTAATGATGGATGACTAGATGGAAGAGACTTCTGTTGAATTGCAAGTGTTTTCTCCAAGTATGATAGTGCAGTGGTATAATTGCCCATTGTTTTATGGGCCATACAAATGTTGTTGTATGTTGCGGTTAGCTCAGGATGATCAAATGAATGAGATTTCTGCTGAATTTCAAGAGCCTTCTCATAGTGTACCAGGGCAGTTGAGTAGTCTTCGATTGATTGATGTACGATTCCAATGTTGTTGTACGTTATTGCCAATAATGGATGATTAGATGGAAGCGACTTTTTCCGGATTGCCAGTGCTTTCTCATGATGTGATAGGGCAATTGAATTGTCTCCCATTAAGTGATACACTACCCCAATGTTGTTAAATATTGTTGCCAAGTTGGACTGATTAAGTGGGAGAGATAGTTGCTGAATGTCAAGCGCCTTCTGGTATGATAAGAGTGCACTTGAGAAATCACCCATAGATCGATGGGTTTCACCAATATTATTGTGAACGCCAACTAACTCAGGATGATCAGATGGAAGTGTTTTCTGATTGATTTCAAGTGTTTTTTTATAATAAGAGAGTGCAGCCAAGTATTCGCCCATAAAATTAAGTGTCACAGCAGTGTTGTTGTAGGTTATTGCCAATGATGGATGATTAGGGGGAAGAAATTTCTGCTGAATTGTGAGTGTTTTCTCATAGTATGAGAGCGCAACAGAGTAATCTCCCATTGATCTATGCAGCTCCCCGATGTTGTTGTACGTCGGAATTAGGTCAGGATGATCAAGTGAAAGAGATTTCTGCTGAATTTTAAGCGCCTTCTCATGGTAAGAGAGTGCAGTGGTATAACTACCCATCGAATTCAGCACTTGAGCCATGTTGCTATATGTTGTCGCCAGCTTAGAATGATTGGGTGGCAGAATGTTCAGCTGAATTTCCAGTGTCTTCTCATAGTAAGAGAGTGCAATAGAATAGTTTCCCATCGCATCATGCGCCGTAGCAATATTATTGTAGATAATGGCAAGCCATGCGTTCATCTCTTTATTATTGACGTTTGATCTTGTCTCGAGTATTATATTATAGATTTTTAGTGCTTTTTCGAATTTGCCCATCTTATTCATCAATACTCCCAATCGATGCCAGCCATTTCCACCACCAATCTCATCTCGTATGTAGTCAGTCAGGCGTTTCAATTGTTGATCATTATCATCGGTTAACACAAGATTAATTTGCCATAAACGATCTTCAATTTGTTCTGTTTCACCAATTCGAAATATTGAATGCATTGAGAATAAAATCTCTTCTTCTAAATCTGAATAATAGCTGATATTGTTCAATGATGCAAATGGAACCGAAGAAATTGATGAATCAATTTCGATTTTAAATAAAATTCCAATCAAATCAGGATTATCTCGAACACTTTCGGCGAATGCAAACGAAACTTCACGAGCGGTACTTGTCGACAAGAAATTGTTGAAGAAGATAAGACCACCCTTGCTTGTCATCATCTTCTCGAAATCGACATTTACCATTCCTTGACCACGATAAACAATTATCTTCGTCGTTCGATCATTCTCTGAATACAGTTGTTCGATTTGTCGATGAAGATCTTTGATAAAAAATCCCATTTTGATAATAATTTCAGTGTCTTGTGTTCTCAATGCTTTGTTGATAAGTGAATAGACGAATGATTCCTTTGTATACCACCAAATAGGTGAATGAAGTTCATAATCTCTCTCAAATTGATCGATTGTATTGGAGTAGATATGATTACCAGGATAATGGGTACGGAATACAAGAACACAATCTTCCTTTGCTTTTTCATCGTACTTAATCTCGAAAATAATTTCTTTGATTAATTGTGAATACATAAATGATTGATCCAGTTCATCGAGATTAGGAGAAACAGTAGGGGGAACAATACTAATTGATGTTAAATCAATCTTGGACTGATGAATATCTCGTGTGAGTGCATCACAAATAAATTCAATTTGATCAAAGACTCCTTTGACTTTTTTGCATTGTGTATGACTTGTCTGTTGGTTGCAAAATACATAAATTGAATGGAGTTGAGGTATATCTTCAATAAGAGGAACAATTATTTGACTAAGAATATCCGAAACAATCATAAACACTTTGACATTTTCAATTTTAGTAAGATAATCAATACAATGATTGGGATCAGTGAATATTTTAATTGAGTCAACGATGGATCGAAGTTGAATAATCGAATGCTTATAAACTTCATTGGATTCATCGATGTTCGAGTCCAACCAAATGATAAGAAAATTTTCAACGATGGAAAGCTGTTGGTGTCTTGATAAGATGCTTTTGTTTGCAGGGTGTTCTTGAGTAGCAACTTGATCAACGGTATCACTACTTAACTTTGAGATAGTATCACTTTGCTTAGATTTTGATATTGAAGTTATTTTGAAATTCTTTTCCTCCATCAGACACCTATGATTAACGACGTTTTACGCGAACAGCAAATATGATGTTTGTGTGTTTACCTGTTTGTGTTGCAAAATTGTGGTATGTCATGACGTTGTACATACATGTGCTTTTTCTCTTTCTCCTACCATGTATTTATTGCGAGTAGTATTGGGTCTCCTCTATATCCTATTCTTAAATTTTTTCGTCTCGTATGAATACGCAAATAATTGTCGTTTAAGAGACGTTTACCAGCTCAGCAAGAAAAGCTGTCAAGTGAAATTTTTTGATCTATATTTTTTTTCTATTTTTGGATTCTATGATCAAACTGAGGTTATGAAAAAGTTTTAAGGTCGTTTGGACTTGATTTCACCGAGTTATAGAATTTACAAAATTAGGTGTATCGAAGATTTTCAAAAAAGTGCCCTCCGTGATATTTCGCCTATAACTTCGTCAAATTTTATCCGTTCTATTCGAATGACGTCTCATTCGAAAGTCCATCAAAAAATGAACAGAATCAGATGTTTCTAAATTTGTTCGATCGGAAACTGGATTTTTCAAAAGCCTACCGTTTGAAAAATTTGTAATTTTAAAAACAAAATTTTGAATTTGATTTGAAGGTAATCATTCGACGTAAGCAAAAAAGATCACCAACAATTTCTTTTCCTAATCCGATCTTGAGCAGGTTTCCAAGAAAGAGTTTACAAGCGGAATAAATTATATCGGTTGAACAAAACTGTTCTATCAGTTCTGATAGTGGCAACAACTAACAAAATTCTGCCAGATCTCGTAGGAAAAAAGTTGTAGATTGAATAAGTCAAAAAAGTCTTGCGATGTTTCTTACCTTTACGCAGGATTTTTTCCATGCTGACCCTACATAAACTATGCACGGTTCTGTCAGGGCTGGCAGTATAAAAATCCTGCGTAAAGGTAAGAAACATACCCAGATATTTTAATACCGATAACCGGCGGGATTCTGCATGAATTTTCATCATTTTTTTCGGTGGGTAGTAGCTAATTCTCAAGAAAAAGATCATTTTTGGTTTCCTAATCCGATCTTGAGCAGGTTTCTAAGAAAGAATTTACAAGCGGAGTAAGTTATATCGGTTGAACAAAACTGTTCTATCAGTTCTGATAGTGGCAGTAACAAATGCAAATCATAATTATATTTATAGAAATATGGTGATCACTTTATATAGGGACGGTATAGCCAGGATTTATAAGAGAATCGGTTAAGTCTTATCGAGCACTAGCAAAGAAGATGAACGGACCCAATGCATTTTAAGAGTCATACTACTATAGAAGAAGCAGCTTGAGCTTACCCGATAGACAGTGTGGAGACATATCCCGACTGGGATATCATTTTTTGCAGCAAAATGTTTTTTATACCCCGAATTGTGTTTCAATATATGTGGGCATCGAAAAGGAAGAAATAAAAAAACACGGTCGACGTGGAAAGCGATTAGATCAAGAGTATATCCCATTATGAGCAATAAAAGATTAACAGCCTATTTCCCGA